TGAACAACTGCAAAAGCAGAAGGATTATAAGGATGAGATTCTGCACTGGGATACCCTGGAAGAAGTCTGGGGACTTCTTCTGTCACAGTTACAGGGAGAGTACCAGCTGCTGGGCATAACAGCCCATCATGTAAAATGCAGGGAAGGATAACAATCTTCATGCCAGAAAGAACTGACTACGAAACTAGTTCTTTGGTGTTTTAAGGAACAAAGGGGCCAAGGGCAACATTTCTGGGCTGAAGGTCAAGAAGCAAACTTTTTAGAAGTAGAGAATTGATGATACAACGCATCTGTCAATATCAAGAAATAGGTGTGCAGGATCCACTGCAAAGTTAGAACCAAAAAGCTACATCATGCTTGAAGCCCCCCACATGTAAGCTGAACTATCATACTTCATCTGGCTCCCCCATTCTTTGTTAAAGCTTGTTTTTATATTATGGGAAATGGATGTATGTATATTACAGGAAATGGAGTACTGCCTTCTACTCTGATGGATGTCCAAGCTGTAAAATAACACCTGTTGCAGTGCCATTTGGATCAGTCTATGGCAGGACTGTGTTTCCACATTCAGGTTTTACTTTCTTTTATTAAACCGATTTTATCTCAACCTATAAAGTTTTTCATCTTATTTCCCCCCCCTGTGCTGCTGAGGAGGGGGAGCAAGGGAGTGGGGGAGTGAGGAAGTGTGATGGTGGGGCAGCTTGGTGGGCATTCCACCACATAAAGCCATTCTGAAATTAGGGATTTACAGGTCACTTTTTCTGACCACTCTGTGAACATTCGGAGGCTGGGCTGTGGCAAACCACTGAAGTTGGTTACCACCTGTATGAAACCCAGTAGGCATGACACTCTGCTTCTCTGCACCCCCACAGAAGGTGACATTAACACATATAACATATAGACAAGTCTGCTTATGGATATACAGATGATGAAGTAGACGAGGCAAGGAAAGAAGCTGAACCCCTTCCATCTCGCTCTTCTTGTCCTTCTACCACCTGCAGCACCAAGAGCTGCGTAACAGAATCATATAAAGGCAGAGAGGTCTTCATTACTCAACCCCAGACTCCCCTTGGTCCAGAAAACAGCTGTGTTCATCCCCTACTGAGCAAAGGCATGGAGTACTGCCCTCTGCTCGGATGCTTTGGGCTCTGATCCTATGTAATTTATCCCATCTTATCTAGCACTACCACAGATGATCCTGCTTCCCTCTAAATGGATGTTTTCATAGTTCATGAAAATACCTGCCTGGATGAGGAAAACACCATTGGAAAAACACCCATGTCACATACAAAAAAAACCCCAAACCCCCAATCCTCCTCATCTAATCACAGCCATTAATTCTTTCCTCTGGCCTATAAACATAATCTCTGATGAATTAAACTCCACCTACCTTAACTGTCTGTGTTGGCCACATACTAAAAAAGTTACATGCCATGCCTTTATCTGTCACAGTAAAATTGTGCCTTGTCTGTTAATTGTTTGCAAAGGTTCCACTAAGTCCCATTATTTCTCCTTGAAAGAACACATAAACACTAAATGGGACAGGGTGGAGAATGAAAGTCCTTTACTGGCTAACACATTTCCCCCAAGCCCATCTGTCATCCTCAGAGCAGTATCAAACCACTGCTGCTAAGGAATAGTGTGAGGAAACTTGTGAGAGAGTACACTCTTTTATTTGAGGAAAAGAGAGGATGATCCAGGGATTTCACCAGTTCTGTTTATTTTTAAATAGAATGATTCATATTGCCTTGCAAGCACATCAACTGATTTAGAGAAAATTATTTGAACAAAAGCAACAATTATCCTCTTCACTCACTTCTGAGGATTTTTACTCTCCTGATAGAACACAACTATACTACCTTTGGAGTTCCTCAGGGTATATGAGTGAGAACCTCTTAAAATAGAAAAAAATCATAAGCCATTATTATTGTGAAAACAATGAGTCCTAATTTCAAACTTGGGTTAAAGATGATTGGACTAGAGTATTACATACAGACATAGGCTCTTTGTTAGGTTTTTGGTAGCTTCTCTACAACCCAACAACAAAGGCTGCAGAATGCTAAGACACTGGTTGAACTGATGCCACAGAAATTGAAATGGATGTGAAAGATGATCTCTGATTTGGACACCTTCCAGATGAAAGCACTTGGCCCAAACTGAAGTCAGACAGTGGCTGCTTAACGGATTGCTTTTAAAAAGAAAAATACATATTAATCTTTTTCTCATTCAACCAAGAAAATATTCTTACCTAAAAGGAAGAGATTCCTTTGTCTGGGAGGGAAATAACAGATTTAGATGGCTCCATGGACTGGCAATGAAGAACGTTAGGCCTCCTAGCAACGTTCTTCAGCACTCTCCACATGCAGACTTGGCTCCATGTTTCAACTGCCTACTGTACGTGACAGCCCTATACTTTAGGATACAACTGCACATGGAGTTTGTGTCTGGCAGGCCTGAATAGTAGGTGGTCTGAGTCGTTCATTACTCTCATGCCATCGGATCTAGGACAGCAAGTTAAGCAGTGTGAACAGAGCTCTTGGCCGTGCAATCGGAAGAGGAAAACGTTATCCTTTGTGCTCAAGCCTTGAATAGTTTTTGCATCATTTTCTCAATGTACAGTGAACTGAGATGCAAGCTTTGAAACAAGCCGTTTGAAATTCTCCAGGGGCTGCTCTTCCCAAGCACTGTCTAGCCAGACACCATAGGATGTTCTTTTGCTGTCTGAAAATATCCCCCTCTTATTTTTATAAACCATTTTTCCCTATCTGTTTAAGAAATCACTTTTGTATCCTTTATCCTGAGATCCTTGTTAAAATATAATTATTTACATTGCATCTTGGCTAAGGCAGAGTGCTAGAGAGAACTTAGCCAGGCAGTAAAAATCCTCAGTTTAGGAAAGGGGGTGGTATTTACCCTCGTTAGTCACTTTCTGAGGTAAAAAATGTTTTCCGCAGCAAAATGCCTCCGACAGCAAGTTTGTATGGTTCTGTTCCTGACTGTTCCTTGACTGCTTTTTTCTTTCTTTAACAAAGATTGTATACCACATGTATGATTTGATATGCACGCAGGTAACCAGAGAACTAAGCCATTAGCTCCAGCATTGAGGACAGTTTATTTCCAAATTCGGAAATGCTAGAACAGACTGCGAGAACTCACAGCCAGGTGGGAGAGAACACACATACTCCGCAGAGCTGGGCTCCTGCCTTATGTGTCAAAGGCCCAACACATACGCAGAATGCCCTCTGGGCTGCTTTTTACAGTTTTCTCTTTCTCTTCTTATTTCCCTTCCCCTCAGTCAATGGGAAAGAACGCTTTGAAGTTTTACATAACCTGCAATTATCTCTCTTGATAGAAACTGCATCTTTTTTGGCAAAAACAGCCAGAGGGAAAAACAGAATGTTGCTGCTTCCCACATTATGTCTTCTAGACTTAAACCTTCCAGCTGCGGAAGGTCTCTTGAGCAAAGGAAAATCCTTAAACAGCTCAGCTTTTCTCCTCGCCCAATTTCTTGCGCTTGTCACCCCTTGCCTCCCCACACGTGTCAAATTTCTGATTTATTTTTACAGCATTACAAATGCAATGCATTTCACAAAAAAGATAATTTGTAACATCAGTTTTAATAGAGCACAACTATCTTGACAAGACTTAGTAAGAATTCACATTTTGTCATGATTTTGACTAGTTGTCAAACTCACTCAAATACGGAGTTCTAGGTATGACATCACCTGGAAATAAAAAAGAGGAACTTTGGTACTTACTGATTTTTGCATATGAAGAAATTCTTCATTAGGCAGACAGTAAGCTTTAGTTACTGCATAGACAGTTTGTATCAGTCCCCTGTTTGTTTTTGAGGGTGTTCCTTTTCCCCTCACACAGGAGGCCTTGTCTGTATTTTGAAACCACCTCAATTCAACTGTATTAGTGTGGTGCAAGCACTCAGAGACATTTTATACCCACACAAATACTGTGACACAGGAAGGCCATGTGTTAAGGCTTTTCTATATTAGCAGTAATGTTTCTAAGCAAGGAGTAGCAGTACACCTATAAAGCTGTAAAATTAATACAGGTGTGCATGTGTATACTGACATATACGCTCCTACCTTGCAAAACAAATTTTCAGCCATTTATCAGCATGATTGGAACCAGATCATCTCCCACACGAAGACAGGCTGAGAAAGCTGGGGCTGTTCAGCCTGGAGAAGGTTGTGTGGAGACTTCATAGCAATCTTCCAGTATCTGAAGGGCACCTCCAAGGAAGGTGTAGAGGGACTCTTCATCAGGAACTGTAGTGATAGAACAAAGGGGAATGGCTTCAAACTGAAAGAGAGTAGGTTTGGATTAGACGTGAGCAAGAAATTCTTTGCTGTGAGGGTGGTGAGGCACTGGAACAAGTTGCCCAGAGAACTTGTTGATGCCCCAACCCTGGAAGTATTCAAGGCCAGGTAAGACGGGGGCTCTGAGCAATCCGGTAAAGTGGAAGGTGTCCCTGCCCAGGGCATGGGCATTTGGAACTAGATGATCTTTAAGGTCACCTCCAACCCAGACTGTTCTATGATTCTACGATGTAGCACAGGGGCGGTGGGACTTGTGTAAACACGCTGGGGGATTCTGACCAAACTTTTCAACCTCAAGAGACCGCGCGCAGGGCTCGGGGCCGACACCTTGACATGCTGACCAGGCCGCAGGTCCTCACTGGATTCAGCAAGCCAGGAAAACGACCCAGCTCCCGACTGAGGAGAGCAGCGGGCACAGGGACCGCACCGAGCGGCCGTGACACGCTGCCCGGGCCCCGCCCGCCGCTCCCGCCCCGCCGGCTGTGACGGCACCGGGCGCCGGGAAGTGCTTCCGCCTGCGCCTTCGCAGGGGACGCGGTGCCGCGGCCTCGTGAGTGCGGGGGACACCGCGAGGCTCCACCGGGCCGGCTGGGCCGCGGCGGCTGCAGCCCGGAGCGGGGCCGGGGCCCGGGCCCGGTCGGGAGCGGGTGGGTCACTGCCGTGTCCGCTTGCGACGGGTCGGGGCAGTGACCGCGTTGAGGGGACGGAGGTGCGTGAGGAGCATCCCTGGTCCCACCGCCTGGCAGGGCTGCGGTGGGTGAGGGAGCGGTGTCCGAACCGAGGGGTTGGTCCGACCCCAGGGGTGGAGCGCTGAGCCGGCTTCGTCAGTTGAACAGTTCTGTCTGGGATAGGGCCGTGTGCGGGGAAAAGGAATGGGATAGCTGTCCTTCAGAAGTTTATTAGGATAGACTCCAGTACTTGATCGTTCCATCATAACCTCCTCTTTCTGCTCGTCCTAGTGGGACTGGTTAAGGCCAGGAGATGTCGACCCCCCCTCTGGCTGGGGCGGGGATGCCGCCGGGCGCTTTCTCGGGGACGCAGGCTCAGGCGGCCAGGGAGGTGAACACGGCTTCCCTCTGCCGCATCGGCCAGGAGACCGTGCAGGACATTGTGTTCCGAACCATGGAAATCTTCCAGTTACTGAGGAACATGCAGGTAAAAAATAACTTATTATTTTCACGGCCCTTGCTTCCCGTGTTTTTATCACTGACAGCCCGTATATACAGACAGAGGTGGCGGCTTAGGACGTTTAGATAACTCCATCAAACTGCTTTAAAAGGGAGGATTGATTGGAGAAGTGAATACTACTCTTAATGTATTTGTTTACTCCTGTAGATAAAGTGAACATGTAGAATATTCGGAAATGCTGAATTGCTGTTGCTTTCACAATAGATAAACTCTAAATACACTTTGTAACTGTGTTTTCCTTTATGAATAGCAAAGTCTGTTTATATGCCGGTTATGTTTCTCTGTTTATGTTAACATACAGGGAGTAATTTTAGAGGAATTTTCATTGATCTTTTTTGGTAATATTTCCCACCTAAAACTTTTTTTTTCTTATAAAAATGGACATAGTCCTTATTTATGGCTACTTACTGAGAAAACATACAAACTTTTGTTGTGTTTTCTCTCTGTGGAAAGCAGAAGATAAATAAAAACCCCAATTCTTTCTGTTTTCATGACTCTGGTGTTACTGAATTTTGTTGCCTGGGGTTGAGACACAAACTCTCAAAGTGTAATACTTGGATCACAACAGTGTCATACTTAACCATTGTGAAGGCACTCACTGAAAAGAGTTAGAGGGATGGCAACGACCAAAGCTGTTTGACAGCAGTGATTGAGCACATAAGTACAGAATTTTGCTGGTAAAGAAAATAAAAAATTCAGCGATTGCTGTGGGAATAATGTGATTGTCTGATTTTAAAATGTACAAAACCCCATCTGATTTCTTTTGGTCTGGTTATTTTGTGTGACAAAAGCTTTAATATTTTTAATGTTTTGGTTCTCTTAAGTTACCAAATGGTGTTACTTACCACACTGCAACATATCAAGACAGATTGGGAAAGCTGCAGGAACATCTCCGTCAGTTATCAATACTCTTCAGAAAACTGAGATTAGTCTATGACAAATGCAATGAAAACTGTGCTGGGCTCGATCCTGTTCCCATAGAAGTAAGTATCTTTATGCATATATACATTACAGCTCGGAATAACCACTCTCTGCATAGCATATCGTCCATTCTCCTCAGTTGCAGGAGACTTATAAAAGGTTTTAATGAGACTGGATATTAAGTGGACTGAATTCTGTTTATTAGTTAGAGCTGGTTGAAAGACTGTGAAACTTTCATGTTATCATCAATTCTTACCAATTGGAAGGGATCCAGTTTTGAAATTGAATCCCAATTTGAAATTTTCCCTGTATACTCAGCACTGGTGAGGCCCCACCTCGACTGCTGTGTCCAGTTCTGGGCCCCTCAGTTGAGGAAGGACATGGAGGTGCTGGAGCATGTCCAGAGAAGGGCAATGAAGCTGGTGAAGGATCTGGAGCACAAGCCTGACAAGGAGTGGCTGAGGGAGCTGGGGTTGTTTAGCCTGGAGAAGGGGAGGCTCCAGAGGGACCTTCTCACTACAACTCCCTGAAAGGAGGTTGTGGCAAAGTAGGGGTCAGCCTCTTCTCCCGGGCAACAAGTGACAGGATAAGAGGAAATGGCCTCAAGCTGTGCCAGGGGAGGCTTAGGTTGACATTAGGGTGATTAAACACTAGAATGGGCTGCCCAAGGAGGTGTTAGAATCACTGTCTCGAGCTGTTTAAGGAAAGACTGGATGTGGCACTTAGTGCCATGGTCTAGTTGACAAGATCTCAGAGGTCTTTTCCAACCTAATTCATTCTTGGATTCTGTAAAATCAAACTTGATTTAAAATTTTAGCCTTTTTCCTTAAGCTTCTTGGTTCCTTCATCAATTTGTTTCCCCTAGGAAAATGAAAGGATCAGGGTAGATTTTTTAAAAGAAGTGGGAAAAAGTAGGGAACAGCCTGCTTCAAGCTCTCGGCTGTCAGCCTGGCTCCCTCACTAATAAGCATTATTCTCTTTCTCTGACCATCAGTCTGTGCCTCCTTAGTTGCCTCATTCTGCTACTCCTAACCTGCTGGACCAGTATGAACCAAACCTAATTGTGCAGTGGTGATGAAAAAGTTACAGCATCAGACTTCCAGGAAGGAGGATTGACTAAAGTTTTTCCTAATAAAACTGCTATTCCTAGTAAAATCAAACCTTTGTTTTCTCCCTCATAAGTTAAGTTGTTTCTAATTCTTAGTAATAGTCTTAAACCCTGTTTTGTGTTATGACTCGAGTTACTACTGCACTAATTATCCAGAACTGTGAAGTTCTTTAAATATTGACCTTTGGATTCGGAGGCAACTTTATTAACAGACTTGTGATTGTCCATTGAGTTTTAACCATATAAGCATTTTATTTTGTATTTGAGTCTCTTCACTGAATGGGAATAAATAAATTAGGTTCATTCATTCGTTCAGTCTGTACAGTCCAGTCTAGACTACTACTTCTAGACTACTACTTCTGTCAGCAGTCACTGCCAAGGGTTTCAGAGAAACCTGACAGCAAGCAAGGGAGTAGGATAACTTTCCCATTTTAAAGAATAAATCTTTTCCAATGGTGTGTTGACTTGTGTGCAATAGAGTAATGAGTAAGCTTTTTTAATGCAATGTCTCACTAATAACTTAGGCACAGCAGAGTTTTGTATCAATAGTTGCAATTCTTTCTTTTTAATCTCCTTAGTCTTTTCTGCTCTGAAGTTAGGAGGTGCCTACCTGTCTCATGTTTTTACTGGTTAGGGTGAATGACAGTGGCATACCATTCTTCTTGGATCAGTTTTCTTAAATTCTTCTTCCAGCATTTCAATAATAGTTTCAATCATATTATTTTGTGGCTGACATTCTAACCATACCTTTGAAGAATATTTACAAAGCTCTTTTTTTTTTTTGCACAGTCAAGAGAAGTCAGTACCTACTAATATTCCTTAGTCTATTATTATTGATATAAATGTTTTCACATTTTTTGTAAATGTGTACTACCAATATAAAAAATATGACTAAATTTCTGTTAACCAACGTAGCAAGGCATGAGATAATTGTGAGGCAGATCTGGTTTAAATTTCCTGCTTTTGCGTGTTAGGTGTAATTTGGCTTTTCTTTGTGGATTTGTTTTTTTTTCTAATACCTTTTCTGAAAGACGTGAGGTTTTCAAAGGAAGTGTTCTACTTTGAGTGCTACTTTATTTTTCCATCAGAGAGAGGAGTTTTTTCCAAGAGTATTTAGGAGCCACACTACTTCTTTTTTATGGTCTGCAAATGTAGTAAGTGGTTAACCTTTACTGCGCTTTCATGACAAAGTTTGTGTGGTAGTTTTTGTCCATTTTGATAAGCTTGATAAGAATGAACTACAGACATTTTTGCATAGAAGGAAATTAAATTTTAAGTCGGTTAAATCAAAGTAAGTTTTCTATCAGAATGCTGAAGGAGGATGCTGAATGCTTTGAAATATTACACCCCAGCCTAAGTAACAAGTTAATATGCACTTGGTGAGCAACTTGCTCCCAGGCTTTTGAACTAATGTCTTCTTGCTCATTTTCATCAATACTAGTCTTTCATTTGTCTGTAGTGTGTATGGGAAAGTGGATGTAATTTTGCTCTGTTCAGGACAGAAAAAACAATGTTGCACTGTAGACACTGTGGATGTATGCTATGTATAAAATGCTACAGCTTATTATTTTTTTATTAGTTGTTAGTAGCTTGGAAGTGTTCTGACAGAGAAGCACATATTTGTTTTGTACCTGCTATATTTACTGATTCTTTTTAATTTATTTTCTTTTTAGGAAGGAAGCATACAGTAGTATTCGTTTAGGGATACTTCATCAAAGATTTTTGGCTTTTTACAGAAATGATAGTACAATATGGTCTTTTCCAGCCTAAACAAAACTATGATTCTGTGTGTCGGAGGAGATCACAGGGGGAAATACTTAGGGAAAAACTCCCTTTAGGTATCTATAGGCCTGGTCTTAAGAACAACCGAACAGAGGTTCACTAAAATAGTAAGTCATAACTGGAATATTAACTAAGTAGCTATGTAAAGCCAGTCATAATTATGGTTAGTATAGAATCATAGAACCATAGAATATGCTGAGTTGGAAGGGACCCATCAGGATCATTGAGTCCAACTCCTGGCCCTGCCTAAGACACCCCAAGAATCACACCATGTGCTTGAAAGAATTGTCCAAATGTTCCTTGAACTCAGGCAAGCTTGTGACCACTTCCCTGGAGCACCTGTTCAGTGCCCAACCATCCTCTGTGTGAAAAACATTTTCCTGATATACAACCTAAACCTCCCCTGACTCAGCTTCATGCTGTTTCCTCGAGTCCTGTCACTGGTCATGAGAGTGAAGAGATCAGTACCTGCCCCTCTGCTAAAATACTTTATAATAATGACAAGCTCTTGTTTGTGGTGTTTCATAGTGTGGAATTGTAAAATGTAAAATCACAATCTGCATAGTTCAAGAATAGAAGATTTATCCATGATACACATCTTGAAATGGAAACTGTGGGTTTTGCCTGCAGTTGTGAAATTGCTTGAGTCTAAGCATGGTAATAGGTGGGATTGTGTCCTTTTGAAGAGCATCATTTTCCTGAAGAACCAACTGAGGTCATTCCAAGGCCTTTGGGTTTGAGGTGACAAACTTGCGTCAACTTTCTCTTGAGCGGTTTGAACCCGTGGAGAAAATGGTAGTACCTTATGTATCTCCTGCGTTTTATTTCTTTTTTTTTAATTTCTTCTTTTTATTTTTCTTTCTTTTTTTAGTAAAGCTAATATTTCTCGTCTTCACAGCAGCTTATTCCGTATGTTGAAGAAGATGGCTCTAAGCATGATGATCGTGGTGCTGCAAGTCAGCTTCGTTTTGCTAGTGAAGAGAGAAGGGAAATTATGGAAGTAAATAAGGTAACCAAGTTAAATTAATTTGCATAAAATAGGAAATGACACTTCGATGTCACAAAGCTTAAATTTCTAGGTTGCTTTACTAAATGCAGAATGTCTGATGACAACCATCAAACCTGGGGATAATTACTTCTTGCACTTTCAGAATTACCTTTCAGGAAACAAGTTTGAGAGGAGTTTTTTTGGTTTGTTTTTTTGTTGGTTGGTTGGTTGGGTTTGGTTCGGTTTGGTTTGACTTTTTGTTTGTTTTGAGTTTGTTTGTTTGTTTTTTTTTAACTCTGGCTGTAGAGTTTGGGTTCCCTGACAGTTTTTACTTGTGCCTCTTTTGAAACCAACATATATTCTTTTGAACACAGTGTATTATGTTTATAATTAGCCCACTAGATATCAGCAGTATAGAGTGAGGTAAGGTGCCTGTTGAATTTATTTCTCTTCAAAACTTACCTCAAGTTTAAAAAAAAAAAGGATACTGACCACCAGATGTGTAAATATTGTTACAATTATGTGAGTTGGTAAAGGCTTTCGTATTTTGACAGTTTGAGGAAGACCGTTCCTTTGTTAAGACGAACATCTATTGAATCTTAACACATTCAGAAAAAAATGTGCTATGAATTATAAAGATGCTGCTAAATTTTCAGTTTGACTGGCAGTCTGCAGTTGGGGGCAATTACTAAAGATGGATTCAAATCTAAAAATAAATAATGCTAGAGTAACTGCTAATATAATATTGAGATTAAAATATGAAGTTTTACCAGACCACAGTTTTGAACATTGTTTCTTCAATCTGTAAAGTACAAAGATAGGATTAATGGAATATTTCTATGGCTGTAATGTCTGTAAATACTTAGTAAAAAGAAAGTATAATCTACAAAAATAACTGAACAAAGGAAATAAATAGATGAAATGTTTAATTTAGAGAATAATTGGTGGATTTTTAACTTTTAAAATATTTCCAGTATTTTAATTTGTCTTCCACACTCAGAGATTTATTGAATTTTTCATAACCCATTTATTTAGAAAAATGGGGACTATTTGAATTTAGAGAAAAGCAGTTGTCAGCTTCCCTATTTTAATCGTTCTCCTAAGTGCTGATATAGCATAGTTGTATATATTATATTGTATGCAGTGTTGTACTCTGAATTTATGCACATTTATTTGCAATCTTTAAGTGTTAATAAGTTTAACTGTCCATATTTGCTGTGGTTTTAATAGTTCTGTGACGTGGGTTTGCCCTTGTTGTTGTACTTGTATGCTAATGTGTTTTTAAACCTCCTTGGTGTGATCTTGTGAAAAGAATTTCATAAATTTTTATGATGAGTTCTGAACCTTAAGAAGGTTGATGGTGTTACAGGACCATTGGTCGCAAACTGGTAATTAAGAATGCATTAAAACCTTCACTTAAATCTGGTCTGAAATCCTGTATTTACATCTAAATGCCAGACCTAGTTTTCCAGATTTTCCATAGTAAATCTTCACAAGATAGTTGAACTTTCTCTAATATGCCTGTGGACAAATAATTACTAACTACTGCAAAAGAAAGTTAAACTTCTTGTTTTTTTGGAAGTGCACTGATTTTTTTTCTTTTATCTCCCTCCAGCTGTATTAGCACATCCACTACCACTTTCAAAGCTCGAATTTTAGTACTTTTCGGAATAGGAAATGTTTTGGGTTTTTTGACTAGAAATAAAGAAATTCTTCTTTTTGCAAAGAAAAATCACTAGAATCATTATTAATTGATCTAATTTCTGACACTGTCTGCTGGGCTTAACTAGCCCTCTCTGATTCCTAGCTGGCATTCATAGCTTTTCATTTCCTCTGTAGTATGTAACATAAAACTCAATTAGATTAATTTATTTTAGAAAAATTTCATGATGCAAAATGTTGATGAAGATGCTGTGATAGGGAAATCAACATTAGAGATAAGGAAGCTTTTTATATTCTTGACCCACTGTCATCCTTCAGCTGTCGTCCTGTTCTCACCTAATCCTTTTTGCAGCATTTTTTCAGGCTTGGCTGTCATTGGTACCAAAAAAAGCGTTGTTGCAATTACCCAATACTTTTACACTATTGAGATATTTGAGTTCTTAGACCTACCATGGGTCGCTTAATTTTACCCTTCTTCCTGTGATATCCCAGCCAGTCTGATTTCTTTAGTGGCTCTGGATGTATGTGAAAGGCACTAATTGCCTTTCAGTGTAGAGCTCAGACACAGCTAGTAGTAGCTCATACAAATCTTGTGGATCGTGTATTCTCACACAAAAATGTCCCGCATTCCATGAACCACTGACCTGAAACATGGCAGCTCTGCTTTGCTGCTGCAATTGACTGGGCAGGGCACCCTCAGTGGAGGAGGAGAGGAGCATCAGGTACTTCCTATACTCACCATCTCATTCATGGGGTAGGAGAATCTGTTGATGTAGCAGTTCCTAAATACTGCAGGAGCTTTTGGTGTTGGTTTACTGTGTAGTGACATCTTGCTGCTGCATTAGGCTTATATTTTAGGTCAGGAAGTTTAATGCGCTCACCTTGGCTGTGGAAGTGCTTGTCTGTTAATTTAAAATATAGATCAGTTTACAAGGTAATGAATTTCTGTCCTAGCAATTCAGTAGTAATTAGCAAATGTAGGTTTAAATAAAACCCATTAAGCTTAATACCAGAAGGGAGTTTTGCCAGCACTAAGAAGCATATACCGTTATTACAAAACAAACAAACAAACAAACCATTTCTTGAGCACTGAGCTACTTCTACCTTTTGTACTAAACAATTCTCTGTTGCAGTTCCCAAAAATGTAGCTTATTCTTTTTTAACTGTATTTGCTTTCTGGGCTTGTAAATTGTTGGGGTGGTTGACTCTCTTTTGGAATAAATAATTCACTGTTCCAGAATCAGTTAAGCATTTGCATTGGTTTACTAGTGCAAGTCTTGACCCAGTTTTCATTGAAATTAATCTATTTGCAACAAGTGGAAACTGTTAACAAGATTTCCTCACTTGTCTTCATATTTTTCAAGTGTTTAATGTTCAAGAGTTTTTACATTCTAAGTATAGCATCGTCAGTATTATTTTCACCTAAGGCTCACCTTAGGTCTGTAGTCTTGTAGTACATTTGACAGGACTTAGAAAATAACAAATCAGAAACTGAGAATGCTTTAATCTGTGCGGAGCAAGTACAGCTTAAGTTTCTTAGGTGCTGTAGGTCTGGTTTCAAATGAAGCACTTATGAAAACTATGACGTAATTAGTAGTCTCAGTACATTTGGATAAAAATGAAATGATGTGAAATAGCATTAGGACATTCCAGGTGACCCTTTAGAAAACCATCGTGTCTGATATTCTTAATTAACATTTGCTAAGTGTCTAACAGTGATCTTGCTAAGAGAGGAAAAGACAATCTATATGACAGACTTTTAAGTTAAGCTGTTATGAGTTTAGCTCTGGGCTTTTTTTTGATAACAAACATTGTGCACTGCAGCTGATGTTGTTTAGGGAAGTATCCTTAAAATGACAGCAATTTGCAATTAGTCTTTCTCTTTGGAAAACTTTACTTTTGAACTATGCTGAAAACCTAAATTCCGTTTTAAACTACCTTTCACACTATTTGCATGTACTTTTGTTTTATATGTGTAGAGTCCTTTTTCACCCAAAATACAAATGTGCATCAAGGAATACTTTGGCAAGAGGGGAAGAATTCTTTATTTGGACACCTTATCAGCAGATTAACCTGCACTGGAGACAGTTCCATCGTGTTTTGAGTACCCAAACTGGCTCTCTGCAGTGGTAGAATCAGAGGAATTTAGACTCAGTGGGAGGTCTGGAGGTTATCTACTTCAGCCTCCAGCTCAAAGCAGGGTCAACCAGCAAAGTTAGATCCTGTTGCTCCAGCTCATATCCAGTAGCATTTCAAATATCTGTAAGGATGGAAATTCTGCCTTTTCTGGTCCCTTCTTAAGGGTTGACTTTCAATGTGAAATTTTTCCTAATGTTACATTGGAATTTTTTCATAACTCATATATCCACTTTCTCTCATCCTTTTGCTCACTACATTCAAGACAAGGCCAGCTTTGTCTTTTCTATGATCTTCAGTAGGTAGCTGAAGACAGTGATCGTGCCTTTTGGCCTTCTCTGCTTGAGACGGAACAAATACAGCGCTAATCATCTTGGTGGCCTTCCATTAGGCATTATTCACTAGGCTTTATATTGATCCCCAAATTGGACAGTCATTCTGCAGAACCAAATAGAGGGGAATAACAATTTCACTCTCTAATATAACACAGCGTGAAGTTAGTCTTCATTGTTGCAAAAAGATCTGCAGCTCACTCATGTTCAACTTGTCAAAAAGTATCAAAATTACCCCAGATCCTTTTCTGCAAATGTGATTTCTATTCAGTCAGCTCTCTGCCTGTGCTGTTGTGTGAGTTTATTCTGTGTGCAGATGTAGGATTTTGCTTTAATTGAAGTTCCCAAGGTAGGTCCCTCTGAACCAGATATCCTACCACTGAGTATATTTATCACGTTCCCCTACTTGGCATTGTCCACAAATTTGATACGGTGATTGGGTCAGTAAGTGTGGATTAATCATTAATGAGGATATTAAGAATACTCACCTTACTATCAATCCTGAGAAACTTCAAGAGTGACCAGCTACCACTTGGTCTTAACACTGATTATCCCAGCATTTAGAATCCCATAGCCCTGACAGTTTTCCATCAATCCACCTATCCAAACCACATCTCTCCAATTTGGCTACAAGACTATGAGAGATTGTATCAAAAGCCTGACTAATATGAAAGTAGAGAAAAACCCCTGCTCTCCCCTTGCCACACAGCCAGTCACTACTCAGTAGAAGGACATCATGTTTTTGAGGTACAGCACATCTTTGGTAAATCCAGGGTGACTATTTCCAGTCACCATGACTTTATCATTCATGTGTCTGGACACGACTTCCAGAAGGGTTTGCTGCATAGTCTTTCCGGAGTCAGGGGTTAGGCTGACCAGCCTGTAGTTTTC